GAAAACAAGCACTAAGTGTGATCGAACTCTATTGTATAATCTTCGACTGGCACTTTGGTTTTTCAAATGAAATAAATTAGCTCCATTAACTCCTGTAGGAGATGGTTTGCTTGCAAAGATTCTCAGTTTCTGACACTGTTCATCGGAAGACATGACTTCGGTAAAGTACTATTTGAAGGTCTTTCTGGTTTTACTGAAAGCTTGATTGATTTTTGCCAAATGCTTTAGACTTTTCCATAACATACCTGTGACCTGGAATTATCTCATTCTTCCCACTTCTGAGATAATAATGTAAGGATTTGTGTGAGTGAACTAGTTCCAGGGAATAAAGGTGAAACTTTTGTTAGACTCACATTTCTTGAAATCCTAGGCAAAGGGAAATGCTACTAGGAAAACTCATGGCTTTTGTCTGAATGATCAGGTTCACTTCAGCTTTGTCTGTCACTGGCTGCTCCTCTGCTTTTCCTTAAGAAGCACGGTCCTTAACGATGTCACCCCACCCACTTAAATATACCTCTCCACAAGGGAATAAAATAAAATTTCCTTTTTAACTGCTATTTATTTGGATTTCCACAGCATTCATTAAAGTGCTTTCTCAGGGCCAACTGTAGTGAAGATGCCATCCCACCCCACCCTTAGAACACTGACTTCAATATAAACGCTCCAACTTTTCTGAAAGCGTAGTATTCTACAGCTCAAGATCATCCAGTTTAAACTCAACACTTTTTTGACTGACACGGTAGAGGAATGAGAGGTCACAGACTCATTTTCTGCTTATTGGTGGTGGAACAGGCCCTCACTCATGACCCAGCTTAACTGCCATCTTCTGTGTAAATACTTTCCTATCCTCAGCTTCTTCTTTGAACTCATACAGCCTCTTTTATATCTGCTTCTATCATAATCCTTTTATTACAGGACTTCCCTCCCTCCTTTTACATTTTTTTTTCATTTATTCACATCTATTGTGTCTGTTTTGAGATTCTTAGAGGTAGGGGGATTTCTTACTCTCTTTTGATATTTTATAGATTCACTACTGAGTGGTCACTTAAAAACTAAGCAATGAATTAGGAGTGACCTGAGTGTTATTACACCTCCTTCCCTGTGACCACTCATTTTCCTTGTTTACAAAATGAAGATTACACTGAGGTGTCTCTCAAGATAATTGTGTAGTTACAGATGATTACCAAGTGCTTCAAGACCATAAAAAAAAAAAGTGTCATAAATGTCAACCATGATTATAACCCTTTGAAACAATGGGATATATGATTTATGGATGGAAAAAGATGAGACACAGCAGGCAGTTGTTCCTTACCCTAGTCTCCATGCCCATTCCCGCCCACCAGCAGTTCAAATTCAGAGGTAGTAGCCCAGCTTGGAAAGAGCAAGGAAGGTTGAGCTAGGGTCTGGGAAGGGTTTCCACAGCACACACCATCGTACTCTATTCAAGAGGAAAGACACTTAAACTTGGCCAAAGTGAACAAAGGGGAGAATTCCCGGAGAGATGGGTGATGTTCAATCCACTGCCTGAGACTCAGAGGAAGAGGCAGTGATTGGTATTTCCTGAGGAGAAAATGACTTGGGAGAAGGGCTGGTAAGGTGGGGCAGCTGTCACACTCTGCCCCACCCTTCATCTCCATGGCAGAGACCTTCCCAGGGAAGGACGGGCGAGGCTTGTCTTTTGTTCCCCCTCCCCAAGCTGTATCATGTAAGTGGCAAGAAAAGGTGTGTTTTATCCTGAATAAGCAGAGCTTTCAGATTTTCCTCTCCAACAATATGTGTAGGGGAAAAAAGGGAGGAAAATCTTCGCTTGTTTTTCTTATAGGCCCTTAACAAGATTTTTGAAGGTAGAGGTGACTCACTAACCCAGCTTTTCACATAACTGATGCCATCCATGGTAGAGCAAGCCAGGATCCATGATCAGATTGTTCCAGACTTGACGTCGTCTAGCCTCGGAGGTCAGCAACAGACACAGAGAACAAGGAGATTTATGGGGGAAGGTGAGGGAGGGGCAAAGGGAAAGCTCTGACAGGAGAAGTCCTCAACTGCAACCCAACCATGAGCTCAAAGAATGGCTGGTGCTACTTGTCTCAATGGGTCTGAAGAAATCATCACGATGCAAAACAAAACAGGTCCTTATGTCTCAGGCTAGAAACATGGAATTATCTGGGAGCAGAGGATTTGTGGGTGGGCTATGGGACTATGCAAAGAGGTCACTTCACATCACATCACAGGCTTCTTGGCAGGAGGCAGAGCGGGATCATCACTGTGGACCCAATCTAACCTGTGGTTTGGAGTTTTTGCCAAATGACTCCTGTTTCCCCAAAGAGTTCTGAATGTGGGAACAGTTCAGCTTTTCCCACTTCTCAGTCACACCATTGTCACTCACCTCAGATCATTTAATTCTTTGGCGTAAGGAACTGGTGAGGTGGCCCCCATTACCTCCTTCCTTGACGTCAGTGAGGGAGTTGTTCCCCATGGCTGTCTTATGTGAAATAATTCAGCATTTGTACTTCAATTAAAATTTGTAAGTATATATTATTAAATGAGACTGACTCATTCCATGGCTTCTCCTCAACTGAGTAAGTGCCAAAAAAAAAAAAAAAAGTACACAGTAGTCATGAAGATGGCATTAAAACTAAAATTTCCTTGTCAAACAATCTACATTCAGGGTTCTGAATGACACGCACAAGTCTCTTGTATCAGTGTGTTCTCTAGATGAAATTGAAGTTCAAGATTCTAATTGCCTTGGAAGAAGAAGGAAAATGGTAACTGCCCAGCACCCTCTTACCTCTTCCCTTTTGTGGGCATCACACAAGTAGCACCTAGAACACAGCATCTGTTCAAAAATGGGGCTGATCCCATTAAATCATGCCACTGTCCTCAGTGTCATATTTTAAGCATATTATTATGTGTATACATTATATGATTTTATAAAAATCTTATTTTTCTACACACTAACATATTTTGTATTTAGTATGTCTGGAAATATGTTTGAGGGAGTGAACACCCCTTTTGATTCTATATCAGACATGGACATGCTGAGCTGAGTGACCACAAGTCCCTCTTCTCTTTGCTACTCTTCTGCACAATGGGTTTCAAAATCTGGGTCCAGAATATCTACTGGGGTTCCTAGGGTGTCAGCCTTTATGCAAACGATCAGCGAAAATAAGAGCTGTGTAAAACCACAGCGTTTTTACACAAGAAAGGGGTAATTATCAAGACCAGAGGTAGTTCCCCAAGAGATATCAGTAAAGAGTATTAGACTTGCAGTCGTAAAAACTGGGCTTTCCAGTCTGGGCCGCCTCAGGCCCACACAGCCTCCTGTGAGAGTTAGCAGAAGCACCCTTTCTATACGGGCACAGCCCTGCAGGGCCACAGCCCTGTGAGAAACTACCATCTCTGGTCAGGGCTCGAGCGGGGGAAGCCCAGCCCCAGGGCCCCCTAGTGGGCATTCCCACACTCCGTTCAGCAGCTGGGCTCTGCCTGCTAGAATCTGTGACTATGAAATCATTTGTTTCAACCCTGAGCCTCACTTTTCTCCCAGAGACAGGGAGAAAAGTGAATTGTGATTTCGGTGGCCTCCTTTAACGGGAGAAGCTACCAAAACTAATGGGCTTTTCCACTTTTCCACACACGAGACTATGATAGCACAAGGGCTGAAATTTCTGAGCTGGATTTTTTTTACAAGTCATGGGACGACACTCCCTAACTATTTGAATGAAATTATGTATGGTTTGATGTGGAGCAGATTAAAAAATAAATGCTATATAGTGCCTGTCCCAGGTGTCAAACAACATGGCTGACCTGCAAAACTGGAAAAACTACTCTGTTGTCAGCAAATGGTACAGCCTGGGCTTTAAGAGGCTAAGAGACAGACACCTCTGGGACCCCGCATCACTTTCAGCTGGGTCCAATGGCAAAATCAGTGCCGAGGTGCCTGCCTTCCCCAGAGGGCCCATAGCGCCCAAGATGCGGAATCTGCTAGAAGCCAAAGACTGTTTTCTTTGTTGATGCCTTGTTGCCCGAAAACAGAAATTAGATCCATGCCCAGATCTCCCTATCAGCAAATCTGAGTGCCAACAAACTCTTCTCAGTGAGAGAGCAAACAAATAGCAAGCCACCCTTTCAAAGCTCAGGAACTTGAGTCCTAGAATTGGGCTGAAGACGTAAAAGCACATCTACTACTCAAAATATCTCCATGAAAGCCCATTCATCGATTCTCAACATGTTGGTAAGAAGGGAATTTGGTTATCTTTGTGAATACTTCCAGAATCACTTTTGGTTTTAGCTTTTACTTGTTTTGTATTTAGAGGAAGGGTTTTGGAAACAATTAAGAGCAATGATATATTCATCAGAGAAGAAAACTGAATCCCAGAAAGGGAAAAGAGTAGGTGCAGGTCACACAGTGGGGCATTTTGATAGAGATGGGATTATAACTTAATGTTCTTTCCATTCTCCCATGATGAGCATGGAAAACAGATGCCACATAAATCATGATGACTCAGTTTTTCAGTTTCAAAGGATGAATGCCCTTGCCATTAACCAAGATCACAAACGGCAGCAAATAAATGTGATTTCTAAAAAGTGTTTTGATTTGCTGGTTTTCTATGGGCTACTCCCTCTATACTGCTATAGGGATGGGGAGAGTGATGGGGGGTTGGGGGGACTGGTGATCGATCACAGTCTAGTAGAGCAGGCTACTCTAGGTGAGAATCTAGCTCCTCACACCTCACACCCCAAAATGCCCCGGGGCAGAGTCGTCTTTGGAACTGAGTCAAGGACCAGGTGCTCTCCACATGACACCTGTTTTCTAATCATTTCTTCTCCCTCTAAAGCAGCGTTCCCAGCTCCCTCAAAGCCCCAGACTGTCTACCAGAAAAACAGGTCATGGCATCTGACTGCTTCTGGGTTGTCCCAAAGTTCCTGTGGGACCACAAACCATTGCCTGAAGATGAAACAAACCTTTGGGAGTGAAAGAATAAATGCCAAGTATTCAAATAAGGCTCCCTTTATTAAATAATCCAGACATAGCATGAATCCATGGGTTGAATAGCAGCAGCCATGAGGAGGGGTTCACCAAAATATGTGCAGATGAAAACTGGAATTGCTCAGAAGTCCATTTTTTTCTAACAAAATGTCCCGTCTCACCAGTGGACCCCAATCTCCAGCAATGTGGAAATGGCTTAGGTGGGATTAGCGTTTTTCCAAAGTAAATGGGGTGAAGGGTGTTTCTATTTCAACCCCTATAACAGCTTTTTCAAAGGCACAATGCATAGGTCTGTTCTTTCCAGAGTCCTGCAGAGTATGAAAGAGTTTCCAGGATAAGTTTGTTCTCTGGTGAAAATACAAGAGTCAAAAACTCTGCCACAGCCCAGAGAGGATGATAGCTGGCTCGTGTAGGACTTAGCATAAAATTTCCTCTCTGTGTCTGGGGGCAGTAAGACAGTGATGTAGGAGGCAGTGGGGAAACCCCTGGGGCTCCCCAGCCCAAGTGCTATGAGAAGCTGGCTGAATGGCACAGGAGGTCTTCAGAGACCAAGTTTGAGTCTGACCTTAGAACTAAAACATGTACAAGAGCTGATATTTTGCCACAAATGAACTTAATGCTCTCTATTTGAGCTTTTGCATTTGCAGCAAATGAAGTGGATGTATCTGTGTGTGTGTGTTTGTGTGTGTGTTTGTGTATGTGTGTGCATGTGCTCAAGTGCAGTGGGGACAAGGGTAACTGTCTTTGGGAGAAGAATTGATGAAAAACCAAGACAGACAGACTAGGCAAAGCAAGCATCCTTAGGAACAGAAGGGAGTTCTGGTGATTCATATTAACCTGTTAATTTATACCATGTTCTGTACAAAAATAAAGAGGTTCTCATAAGATTAACAATTTAAATAAATATCTGATAGAATATTCTTTCTCATTTTTATAGTTCATCTTTGGGGTTGATATTCAGGTCACGCTTCCCTTGCTGTTCTTGATCCAGGATTGCGATCACTTCATCGGCCTTTATTCGCTCCTGCAAAAGTGACAATTTACACATTTCTGTTACGAGCATAATAATCAGCCCCGGTGGCATATGCTTCCCAAACACTTCCAGGCTTCCATCTGTATGGAAGCACAGATTGGCGCTAAATCTAGCTACGGATGGAACCCGTCTTTAGCCCTCCACTAGCAGCTTCTCCTGACTTCTAGCTGTCCTCAACATTACAGTTACTTTCCAGGATTTCTCCCTTGCAAAGGAGACTTGTATAGTCAACTACCCACGACCCTGCTATATCGTTTGGGATCCCATCAGCATCTGTAGTTAATTCTCCAAGTCAGCACTCAAAGTGAATTCACCATTTCTCCAGGTCCACCTATAGACCTACTCTGTCTTTTCACAAATCCCCTCTCTTAGTGAAGATCACCACAGCTGACCCATATGCCCTAGGATTCTGATTATGGTGTCTTGCCACTGATAAAAATCACCTGGTCCTACTTGTTCTACTTCTTATTTCTGCTCCTTTCTCTCAGAGCCTACAACTGTCACTTAAACCAGGGTTCCCCAATCTTGAACCAGATAGTTCTGTGTGGTGAGGCTGGTGACGGGGTTGTCTATGCACTGTAGGCTGGCCTCTAGCTGTTACAGGCGGCCAATAACACCTCATCCCACATCTGGATAACCAAAAATGTCTCCAGACATTGAAGAAGTGCCCTAGGAGGCAAAATTTCCCCTTTTGAGAACATGTGTAAACACTTATCATTTCTTGACTGGAATACTGCAACACTCTTCAAACCGATGTCCTCATTCCATACCCTGCTCCCGCTCCCACTTGCTGGCACCACACCCCGTGCACTTAAATCATTCTCATGCCACTTTGCTGCTCATGGCTCATGGCTCCTCCACGGCTTCCCATTGCCTGAAGTTCCAGCAGCAGTCTTCCTGGTGTGTGTATAAGGAGCTGCCTGATTTAGGTTTTCCTTTTTTAAGATTTATTTATTTATCCACACAGAACTGGGGTACAGGCCGGAGGTGTGGAAGCAGTGAGAGGATTCATCAGAGACAGAGTCAGGAGCAGAACAGGCAGATTGATGAAGTACACTGCTGAGGAGATCAGCTGGCAAGACACGAGACGTCTTTTGGGCTCTGTGGATCACTTCCGGGGCTGGGGATCAAACTCACACTGAAGCAACTGCTGCTAGCTTGCAGTGCTGTGCTTTAACCCATTGAGCCACCAGGAAGGGCCTGATTTAGGTTTTTCTCTCTTCTGTAGCTCACCTGTCTTCAGCTTCTCAGCTTAGCTCACACTCAGAGAGTGTGCTGAAAAACACACTCTCTGAAAAGTTCCTAGCCTTAGTCCATGAAAAAAATGTCCTTTTGGGCTTTCTGTTACCACCACACCCATCCACCAGCTGGTCTACCTCCGATTAGCATCTTAAACTTTCTACACTTTTCCACCATCTCTATTGCTAGTCTAGAAGGTGGCATCAAAGCTATCTTTTGTACTCTGGGAAGGACTGGAGAGGTGAAGAGAGGGTGCATGCTCCCCCCACTATTAGAGAAGAATTCACATGTTTTAAGCAACCTGTGTCTGTGCCTGACTCCTCAGTGTCCATTTTCAGAACTGCTCCCTCACATTCACATTCTGGCGATGTTGCTCTCTTTGCTTCTTGACTCCTGACTTTCCTCTTATTTTGGTATTCATAAAGAGCTGCCACCTGCTTGTGACTATGCATTCTGTAGCTTTACCACACAGGGCCAAATTACCCTCTTAAGTGACTGCATCAACTTCCACATTTGTTCCACAAACAGGCCAGTCTCTTTCACTTTTACTTTTCTGGTAGTTGATGGCAATGGGAGTAGAGCTCACTTTTTTCTGAAGTGTGTAGCTGAAGTAGGGGAGTCCATGTTGGGGTCATTGTCTAACAATCTTTGACTTTACTAGGCTAACTCTTTCCCAGTCTTTGGCTATGGAAAGCAGGCTCTTCATGAGGCTTTATTTTTATTTTTCTGTTCCCAGGGACATTTCTAGGTTGGAGTCTCTGCATTACCCAGTCCAAGATAACTGAGGCAAAATGAAGATTCTAGAAATACAAAAGAACATGGCTCATCAGGCCCTGACACAGCTGTCTCCTCTCAATTTTCTTGTCTTTATACCACATTTCCAAAATGATTAGCTATATTTGGTGGAAGAAATACAGAGAGGTGCATCAACTGTAGCTTGTGTTCTTTCATACAAATGACCACTGGTCTGTTAAGTATTGTGAAAACCCTGTTGTGATTGAGACTGAAATTACTGATCTAAGAAATTTTACATTATATCCCCAATGTGTTTTATAATTGTTCCATAAGATTCTTTTCATTTTACATTTTCTAGTCAAATCTCATTATTTGGCCCTTCCTGGTGGTGCAGTGGGTTAAAGCACAGCACTAAGAAGCTAAAGCCACGTCCACATGTGTTTGATTCCACCTGCCCGGAGGTGACCACATGGCACAGCAGACCTCTTCTGACCTGCGCACTGCTCCCCTCAGCAGTGTACTTCGTCGATCTGCCTGTTCTGCTCCCTACTCTGTCTCAGGTGAAGCCTCTCACTACCCCTGAGCCTCTGGCCTGTACCCCAGTTCTGTATGCACAAATAAATAAATCTTTAAAAAAAAATCTCATTATTATTTCCGGGTTATCGTTGGTAGACAGGAATGTGGACAATATTTGTATAGATATTCAGACTGTGCAACCTTGTTGAACTCTAAAATCTATGCTAATAATTCATCTGAATATTCTGTGAGTATATTATGTGTGTTCTACAATCTGCAAAGAAAAACCTTTGTCTCTTCCTTTTCAATTTCTTATTGCTTTTTTCCCCCCTTAATTTTATCACATTTTCTTGGATACCCAGTATTTGATTTGAGGACATCTTTGTCTTCTGCCAGCACTTTTATTAGCTTATAATAAATATCTCTCATTAGGTACATCCTACCTTTCTTCATCCAGACATCACTTATCACTATCTGAAAATATCTTAATTACTTATGAATTTAAAAATACATTTGTTATCTGTCTTCTACAAGAAGATAAGTTCCATGAAAGTGGGTACACTGTCTCTTTTGTTCAATGATATACTTCCAGTGTTCAAAAAAGCTACTGTGCTTGGCAGGGACTCCACTGAGTTAGAAGAGTAAATACATAGGTAGAAGAAAAGCTGCCTGTACCTAAATGTCTGTCCCTAAAGAAAGTGCCCTTGTCCTTTAAGGCTCATGTTCAATGCTTTATTCTCAATGTAGCCTTTCTTGAATTCTTCTTTGTATACCCACCACACCAGGCAATTTGCTCTAAGAATTCTTAGAGCTTTGCCTGCTGTTTTAAATATGCAGGCCCCTATATTATCTTTCCACTTTGACTTCAAGCTACTAAAAATAGGCGTTTCATCTTACCTAGCTAGTTTGTACCCTCTATGGGTAGTCCCTCACACCATGCCTAGCATAGTAAGTTCTAAAAATAATTACAAAGCACTTTTCATTCACAAGCTTGCAATAGGAAATCATGTTCACAGAAAAGTACCTGAAAGGACAAACTATGCTAAATGATTACAACTAAACTAGCCTAAATTGCTGTCATGATGTTTAAGTAAAATGCTTGCTGAGTACTCTTTATGAATATGGGAAAAACCTGCTGCTTAATAAATTGATGCACCTACAAAACTTTCATATCTGAAACCACAGGAGACTGCTGTAGCCACATGTTTCTCCTGAAAAGAAGTTCAAGAGCTAGAATTCTATATGATAGGCACTGAAGCTTAAATAAAGTGCATCCAAAAGAATTTATGATGTTAAATGCACCTGGAGAAGTGGGTGCCTTTTAAATCATCTAAAGAAGTCTGCTAGCACTGATGACTTCTCAGAGGCAGGCTCTCTGTGCTCATGGATTCCATCTGAGAGAAGGCACCTAAGCCAGGGACTCTCAAACTTGGTTGCACATTACAGTCATCTGAGGAGTTTCTGACTTCAAAGTCAGATGTGGGCACCCACTTTTCCAGGTGTAGTTAGCATCATAAATACTTTGGTATTTATGGATGCACTTTATTACTTAAACTTCCGATATGCTTATCAATCACCTTAACAACTAAGCCAGAATTTCGCTGTGTGGAAGCCAGACCGCCAGAGTTTGCAAGTAGCCCCAGGTGGTTTCAATGAGTACTAAAGCCTGGGAATTAAGCAAAGGTTGAATGTTCTAGCAGTTGAAGAGGTTCTGGTCATTTTCTTCTGAAGCCACTAGATGCCGCTGTTGCCCCAAGGCTGGAGATGGTTTCCTACTACTTTGAGGTTGAGGATCTGAGCTACACACTCCCTGGTTAGGATCAAGAAAACCTCGTTGTGTTAACTAATTTTGATAGACAATATCTTCAAAGAGAGGCCTGGTTACTGAACAACAAAATAGATAAACTTTTTGTTAAGTTAAACATTGAAGGGAGAAAATTGTGAGACAACTTTATAACAATGTGTTATGTTTACTGTCTTATTTTACCTAGCTTCCTCAGCACAGGAGTAGTGTAGGGGTGCTGACATTTTGGAGGTGCCTAGGAGAAACATAGGAGGAAAGGACTGGCAGGTGCAGGAGACTGCTCAGTGCCTTTTGGTGTTTTCAGGAGTGGCCACTCTGTTCGCTCTCCAGGGCCATTCTTTTCTGTGTGCCTGATACAATCTTCTCTTTAAATACTGAGTTTATAGGCACCTTCCTTGAGGCCTTCCTACAAAGTATACGCTACTGCCTTCTCATTAGTCCTTTTCCTGTTGACTGCTGCCAGCTCCTCACCATAAGGACTAAACTTTATTCACCTGGGTCCTGGGTCCTGTGGAGCAGAGTGCCTGAAGCTCCCAGCAGAACTGTAAACATTTGTTAAATACCTGCAAGACTACTTGGGGAATGTGGCTTAAAATTATGTGTGTTGGATGGCAACCAGTGAAGAGAAAGAGAAGTTCATTAATTTTATATAGTTTCTGATGAAACTGGAGTTCAGTTCAGGGATCTAAAGAGAAGAAAGAAGTAGATAGAAAGCCACTTGAAAGACTAGAATTTCACAGCTTCGTCAGCACTCGGGACTGGAGACTTTGAAGTCATCCAGTTTAGCTGTGCTATAAAGTTCAGTTTCAATTTTAGCATCCCATGCCCAGCGGCTCCTGGGGCTTTGGAGCTCAGCAGTACCAGGAAGCTCACTACTTCCAAAGCAGACACCACCACCACCAAGCCACAGCCATTATTTGAAAGGCATTCCTTATGCTAAGTAGAATATTTTCTCTAAATTTGTAACCACTGATCTTAATTCATCTCTCTGGAGCTTCACACATACAGGATATAGCCTCCACCCACAGGCATCCACAAGAATGAGATTACAATTTCTAATTAGATCCCTGTAATTAGCTACTTCCAAAGTAATAAGAGCAACATTTTAATACTTAATAATAGTAAATAATAATAAACTTCCACAGTCCTTTACTTTCTTCTACCTATGTTGCATAAACTACACATACAGTGCTCTTTTTCGATGATTTGTTAAGAAAACAAATCAGTCCCCTCATGACCTGTGAAAATTGGTTCCTCGTTTTCATGGCTAGAGTAGTAAGCCTAAAACTAATTAGAGACTACCAAATATCACTCTCTGCAGAACATTCACTTATTAGAACCCATGGGATTAAAAACTGCCTTCCAAGTTTCCTCTTCTTTCCCTCAAACTCACTCTCTAGACATTAGGTTACTGACTATTGGATGATGAATCTGATCAAGAAAGTTTTCTCTTCCTCAGAAAACAAAACTAGTGTTGGGGACTAGAGAGAACAGTAAGGGGATTTATAAAATTTTCTTCCATGGTAAGGTCTCTGAAGGGTTATAGTGTTACAGGGCACATTAGACCTTTTATGGGAAGGAACTTTAATATGATTAATGTGTAATACAGAAAGACAAATAATACAGTTTTTAAATTTAGAACCTAAAGTCACCCATCCCATCCTGGATGAATGTCCAGCCAAACTGGGTTGGCCCAAAACAAGACCTGAGCCTGCACAAGTATAAAGAGCCTTCTGGCAGGGACCCATAGAAAAGGGTCAGAAGCAGTCAGACAAGTCTGGGAGAAAAAGAGTAAAATCAAAATCAAGACTACACCTGCCATTGTTAGCCTCCCCATGGGTGTCTCACCCACATCTGTTCCAATCAGTCCAGCACCAAGAAGCCAGGGCAGCTTCTTCATGTGTCTCTCTGTGCCTGTTTCTCCTCCAGGTCTCTTTCTTGCTCTCCATCCTGCTTCCTTCCTTGCCCACTCTCCCCATCTCCTCTCCAGCTTCTTCTCTTTCCTGTTCAGCTCCACCCTCCCTTAGGTGGGGCTAGGAACCTGGAAACTCCCATTATCTTGGGGACCGCCCTCTTACAACAGGACAACCTAAATGACTTTTCAGATAAATCAGTTTCTGAAGCAGGTCTGTGGGCATCTAACAAACTTTCTGGGAGAGCCAAAAACTCACCAGTTCTCTATAGAGTGGGTCTAAGGTAAACCACAGAGCCACAGCACACCTCTGGCCCTTGGTGACCGCCTTCACCCCGTGGGGGTTCTCTCCTCCAGATGAGAAGCTGATCATACGCCCACATTTTGGTTTTATAGAGGCCTGAGAAAGAAAAAGATAATTAGATATCTTCAATTCCTACACCATGAACATTGCTCTAAACCCCCATCATTATCCACCTATGGGAGAGTTGGGTCAAATTTTGAATCAAGAAATGATGGCAGCCTGGGTTTCAGGAAGACATCGATTGTTAAAAGTTCCTCTTCTGCAAAGCAAAAACAAGGCCAGGCCCTCCCTGGTGGTGCAGGAGGTTAAAGCACAGCAGTGTGGAGCTGGCTGCGGCCGATTCAGTGAAAGTTCAATCCCTGGCCCCGATGTGATTCATATGGTGCAGCAGACCTCTCCTGTCTCACCCGCTGCTCCCCTCAGCAGTGTACTTCATCGATTTATCTGTTCAGCTCCCCACTGTGTTTCTGCACGTCTGGCCTGTATCCCAGTACTGTATGCATAAATAAATAAATCTTAAAAAAAATGGCCAAATATCAAAAAATAAAATTAATCATGTGAAATGGTAGGTACAATACCTAGAAATAGCAATTGCTAATACAAGCTCAAACTCCAGGAAAGCAAAGCCCCTTTCTTTTAATTCCCTTTCTACATTCCACAGCAGCATATGGCATACAGAAAACAGACTTTTAATATCTGTGAAATTACAAACACAAACCCAGGAGCCATGCAGAATGGAAACTTTTATTTTAGATCTCGATCGTGGCGCCATGATCCTTAATTATACATGTGCACTTTGTGTATGTTTGTAATGCAGAGATATTTAAAAGTCAAGTATAATCCCAAATGATAGTTTAATCCTCATCACTATGTTCCTGCCCACTGAGCCTCAGTCAACGCTTGACTCTCTCCACCGAGGAGAACACAGTACTCCTCAGGCTGGCCCCTTCTTTGTTCTCCAGGGACCTGAGGCTATTGACACGGTTTTTCCAGGCATTTCTTAGGTGGACCTGTCCACTCATGTTTAAGTAGAGGAGGGCAGAAGGGAAAAGAGATACTACAAGTGGCCCTGAGCCTTGCTCTAGATGGAAAGAGGAGACTCTCATGGCAATTACGCTTATACATCTGAGTATCAGATGTATAAACTTATTTCTAAGTTTAAAGCAGTGTCTGATGTCGGGGAAGTTCATTTTTCTTTCCTGAGAAACACAGAAACCGTACTCATTCCATAGCAGAGAAATTAAAATATAAGAAAAAAAAAGTGGCAGCAGCAATTTTACCATTTGATAAGTTATAGCTGTTCTAGTAATCTATTTTCAGAATTGAGTGTATGTGTACCCATGTAAAAAATATTTTACTTCTTATAAAATGGCTAAACTTTTCCACTGCTAGCTTCAAGAGGAATATTTGGGAATTTTCCTGAAGTCCTTGGATGCTGTATAACAAAGATGCTCTCAGACTGTTTGACCAACATGTGGAAGGTCAAAGGTGGTGTAGAAAGTAGAAGAAACCAGGGTGTGTGTGTGTAAGATGTGCTGTGTGGTGTATGTGTGTGTGTGTGTGCATGATGAGTGCTATCAGTAAGAGCTGAAAATTTTAGTTTCCAGTTACTTTCCAATGTAGAATAATTGAGTGATTCATCTTTGCCAGAGAGAATGGCTTTTCTTAAGCAGCTTGGTCAAGGCAATTTTTTTATTATTATTATTTCAATCTACAGTGTTCACTAGTTTCTGGTCCCCTGGTATCAGCCTGATTTCATTTTTATGGGGAAGGAATTTGTTGCACATATCCACATAGAAAAAGCAAAATAATGACACCTGACATTTATGAAATAGGATGAAAAACCTTCTTATTCATGACTTTAGGGTCAAGTTTTATGTTTTCTGGCTTCCTTGTTCTGGACTCACTGACTCGCACATGGTTGCCATTACTTCTATTATGAGGTTTGAGAAAAACAGCTTACAGTTCTAAGGCAAGGATGTGGAGACAATGCACTGCTTTCTCACTGAAAGAACTGGAAGAATTGAAAGTAATTTTACACATGAAGAACTTGGGGATAGTTTAGAAAAGATGCTATCACCTAACACAGGTGAAATATCAAAGATCTTTAAGCGCACAGGTGTTTCTAGAATGAATTTATCACATGGAGTAAATCACCTGCTTGCTACCAGCTACATGGAGGTAACATGGAGGAACAAACCAGCTCCATTATCCTATTGCTTCGATTGGGGAATATCTTCTGAAGTTTGGATAAATGATTGTAAACATACTCTTGGAACACAGATCCATTAATATTTTACAGATCAAATGGAGCTCATTAAATTTACCTTTTTCAAACTTGCACAAACCCTCAAATCCCTAAATATTTATGTTTCACAAATAAATGCTGTTAAAATAATCCATTAATTTTCCAAGTATAATTAAAGAAAATTCCTCTTGCTTTCCATCTAACTAGTGCTACCAGAGAAGCCCTTTGCCTGAAATAAATGTAGGCCTTCAGCCACTAACAAATGAACTGTTTAGACCATCCCGAGTGAAGGACTTGAAAGAGTTTTCTGACGTGTGCTTTCCTAGCCAGGCTATTTTTCTGCTCCTGTTGTCCTTCCAGAACAAATAAAGAAACTTGTTTCTCTTTGCTACTTTAATTAGTTACTAAAGTTTTTAAACATCTAAAAAATGCCCTAAAAATTCATCATAGGGATTAATATAAACCAGGACTAGCTTGGGAAAATAATCTTTCAGCTTGGAGCTTTTGAAGTAAAAAATTGTTTGAATTAGTTTTTCTTGAGGGGAGAGAGGACTGAATGCAGTTTTCAAAATAGTCACACATGTCTTTTAAAAGTACAGCTATATGGAAGGGGAGTAAAGTACTATCTGTCTGCATATCTTTAAAAAGCAGAATTCTAGTTAACTTGGTTTCAATTGATGAGTAATACTAATTATACAAGAAAGCATCACTTGTTTGCCGATGTCGAGTATTTCCACTTATGGCCACTAGGTGGAGTAGAAACAAAGAAATCCTCTCAACCACCTGCCTGATTTTTCTTTCTTCCCTGTGAGATGCTCTTCTCAACCTCTCTTTCAGTGTCAACAAGACTCAGAAATTAAATACACGTAGGCTTTGCAGAAAACAAGAATTCTGAATAAATATTGCTTTGATTCCAACCTGGATCATCAATTGCTTTAATTTCTCAGGTAATAAAACATCAAAATGTTCTCATAATAATATTTAAACGTGTTACCAAAAACGTGTGCCACTGTATCCTTTAAGCATCATAAACTTTAAAAAATGCATACAATCTTTAAACATGAAAACATATAAACAGGTGCTAAATCGTATGAAATACCTTTTTGTTAATTATAACAACACTTCTAGAAAATTATAACCAGAATCCCATCAGGGTTCCTCTTTAAACCCAGTAACATATAGCTTTGATATCATCTGCCTCTACACCAATGAATAATATATAGAAATAATACTAACTTCTATTTCCAAGTCCACCTATATGATGATAAGCAAATTTTTAATTTAATATTGTTATTCGTTAATTTTTCTATCTGTAAAAGGGACTCGATGATTTCTCTGGATGGCTCTGTATTGGGAACTATAAATTTACCAGGGCCCTTTTCACCTCTTGAGCTCTGACATATATGAAGTCCAACCATCTGTGAATACGTGAAAAATGCTAAGACTGAGGTTTAAAAATAAACAAATAAATAAATTTCAAAAAAACAGGTTTACATACAGTCACAGTCTTGGCATCCATTTCAGTGAATATAAATTCTCCTCCTTCAAAGTCATCATTCATATATAAGAGTGCACTATAAAAAGAAAGGCAAGCCATTGTATTATTTTAAGCTTTTAACAACATCATCCCAGAATACTGAAAACGCTATAAACAGTGATGAACCGACCAATCTGATAAATAAGTTTCCTTTGAATTTGACATTGAAATGACTGACCCTATTAAACTTTAAGAGTAAGTTCAGATGTAGTTTGGGTCATAACCCTGAAGTATTTGCTCCTTCCATTTATATTAAAAATATGAGATTACAGAGCACATCTCACATTTCTAAAGAAAACACAACTAGGTTTAATCTCACCCTTCGAAGCGATCCACACTGCTCACAAGTCTCTTTATTGTCTATATTTGTGACCTTGAAGAGTGTAATTTCTCCCTAACCTGCAGGAGAGCTCCCACCCCCAGCCCTGCAGATAGGGAATTTTATCAGATTTCTTATACACAACACAGTAATAATGAATACATATACTTTGTGTGTAGCCTGATTTTTCTCTTTGCACACTAAAATACCTTTTAGTAAAAGAAATTTTGTTTTTCTGAACTTCCAATTCTTATATCTAAAATGCAGACTTAGATTCCTGTATGTGTTGAGATACCAGGCCCTCTGTTCTCAGACTGAGATACGCATACCACAGAGATAACTTTCAGTGAAAATAAAGTGATTAAGCAAAACAAAATTTACTTTTTAGATTTAAACAAATGGACATTTTGTGGAGCAGGATGCAAGAAAACATGGCTGGGTTTTGAAGATAAAAATGTGAGATGATAAAAGTACTTGTGAGTTGTAGCAGCTGCTCAAGAAGATTACTTGAGAATCTCTGCTTCACAGAGATAAACATGAACATAAGCAAAACAGCTCAGCTTTCTAGTTTCTGTGGGTTTGGATCACTGCTGGCAAAAGCTGGACTATGAAGCAGCTGCAGGCTGTACCTGTAGTCCCGGAAGGTGTAGGCAGGGGGCTCCTTCCAGCACTCGTTGGCCTCAGGGTCCAGCAGACAGTTGTCAGCATGGATGGGATGACTGAGGTCATTTCTTCTATCCTGTTGACCTGCCAGAAATGGGAAGAGGAAGATGAGAGGTGGAAGGCAGTAACCTCCAACGGCAGAACTGACAATCTGACTGTCATCTTGTGTTGCCAACATCCCCGCAAGTTTGAGGAGAGGGCAGGCAGGACAAGCAGATGAAAGACTGGATAGGCAGTCCTCTCTGTGATGAGCCTCATGTCAAACTATGGACACATCACACCCGCCTCTTCAGCTATCAGAGCTCTGTGATGTAGACAGACATTCAGAAATCCCATGCATTTACAGTGCCGAGTGCAGGGCAGTAAAGGCATGATGCATGGCAATGGAATAATAATAGAAGAAAAAAAAATCTCATTCAGCTGAAACTTCCCAAGTGTATAGAGTCCTACTCTGTGACTTTTTCTGTCTATCCAGGAAGGTGTAGATGAAAGAATCTAAACAATAAAAATTAGAAGTGTCTGGCTGTTCAAGAACATTTTGTTTTCAACAGTCCCTTTATCATCTCCACTTCCACTCAATTCTTGCGGACATGCTAATGACTATAATTTCTAGCTTCCCAGTTGTGCAAATGTGAAATCCAGAATCATAAAGCATTTCTGTTTCCCTTTGGGACTTAAGCAAGAGGGAGAAATGGATTTGGAAAGAGAAAATAGCAGAATGATGGTCTTCTAGAATGTTAGGGGACCAAATGTAAATAAAAAGGAAAGGGGAAAATAAGAGCTAGTATTGGGACATTTAGAGCTCTTCTAGCCACTTAGCCTGCAATGAAATCAAGTTTTGTTTGAATTTTTTTCCCTCTCATTTCACTGTGGATAGGAGAGGTCACGTTCAGATCCTGGAATCTTACCCGTTAGAGCTGTTCGGCAGACCATGTGTGTATAGGAAAAATACAGGGTTGAATTCAGCATGAAATAGGATTCTACAATCTTTCGAGCCTTCTCGCTGATGTCATAAAACAGACGGGCACTCTTCAGAGGGACTCGGCCTTCATAACCAAACTGAAGCAAAAGAATATCAGATATCACTGGGGTGGTGAAAGGTTCTGCAAAAAGCAGATCTGGGTTTCTTTAAGATAATGTATGATGTTTGCCTCTGTCTTGACTACTGGCATTCCACGTGTTTGTGGACTTAGGTTAGGAAGATGACCCATTGGGATAAGCTCTTCTTGATCACAGAGGGAATGTTAAGTGGCTTCACCACAGCCCCCTATACTAAGACTCTCCTGCTTTCTCTGAATCACCACTTTATTGCAGTGCAGACAATTACTTATTTGAGCCTTTTTCACCATTAGAGCATGAACTGCTTGAGGAGTGGGGAGTGTAAGCTAGGGGCGGGATGGACATTATTTATCAGATACAAATTTAAGAAATACAAAGTTTGGTAAATTGGCAATTGATTAGAAGATGAAGAAATTATTAACAACAAAGATACCATTTCATATTTGCTTTCTTCAGCTGTTCTGATGGGTCTGTATTCTAAACTCTTCCCTTCCTCATATCTGCCATTCACAAAAGGTCCTAGATGGACCACTAAGGATGCCTCTGAAAAATGCTAAATGAAATGAGTCAAAAAGTGAAACATATCCAGTGGTTTCACTCATCTGTGGAATATAAGTAAGTAAAAAATTACAAAGGCAAAATACAATAGGAGTACATCTCAGTGAAAGAAGATCATGATCACTGGGAGTGGGGGGACACAGAAGATGGGGTGCTGACTGGGTGGTCTGGTAGAGTGGAACATACACACATATGAAAGAGCAACAATGTATCCCCAAAAATTAAAGTAAAAATAAATTTTAAAAAAATGAGATGCCACATACAAAATGTTACTATAAAAACATTTCAGATATTACTCAAATTAAAAAGATGTTTACTTTGAGTGCTTTCAGGACAGTTGCACCTTCAAACTTTTCATTGGGTGTATGCGGTGAAGTTTTTCCTCTGTATCCATCACCAACGTGCATGATTCCCTGGAAACAAAATACCAGAGGATGCTTTATTAATGATAACTATGAATTCACCTGGTCTCTCTTTCTGCTACCACTGCCAGAAATCTGAACACCAAAATCAGTACCCAGAAACTATTCCCAATTTATTCCAGAATCCTGGCCTAATTAATTCTCTCAATCAAGAGATGCCTTTACTTAACTTTCTAGATTATCATTATAATTATTACCAATTTTTATAGAAATACAGAGACTATATATTTACATCCATCTATTATATTGATTAAAGTAAGGGGTTTTTCCCAACAACTTCATAGGATAGGCAAGACACATGCTGACTAGCTGCTGTCCTGAGAACTAAGCCACCAGTTATTACAGATCTAGACAAAGCAAGTGGAGTTGGACAACAATGAAAACATCCAACCCAAAGTATCTCCACAATCAGTGCCCTCTTCCTCAAGAAAGTGAAAGTGTCGGTCTTGATCACGACTCCACATGAGACATGGACCAAAGCATGACCAGACTCATGCCCAGCCAGTTTGGTCAGCCTGCAACCCTCTCAAGTCCTCACACTAGCCACACTGTGAAGCTCTCGGCACTGTTCTTCAGACAGGACGTTGTCCAGAAGCACCCGCTGAGTTCCATTCAGCTGCTCTGAGTTGTAGACAAACGTAATGTTCTCATAGAGCAAGGGGCCTCCTGAAAGCATAGAGCACAGGGTCTTGGATGCACTGTGTTATAGAGCGAAGTCTTTCATGCGTAGTAACTGCAGCACCAGTCTAGTCACACCCAGTCACCTGGCTGCATCCCAGTCTTTTTCTCACCACACCTGACGCTACCGAGTCTGCTTTTTGGATATTTGTTTTGCTCTGCTTTCTGGGATTTTTAATTTTTTTCTGTAGAATGTTCCACACATTTGCAAATCATCCATGTGCATGGGCCATGCTTATCTTGTCTGTATCAATCCAATTTTGGTATTTATGCTGCTGAAGTGGATTCAATCTCCAGACAACAAACTGACCCTCATGGCACAGCTGCTCCCCTCAGCAGTTTATTTCACTCAATCTGCCTGTACTGCTCCCCACTCTGTCTCTGGTGAGCACTCTCACCCTTTCCCCTCTCCTGCACCTCTGATCGGTACCCCATCTCTTGTATGCATAAAACAATTTTTAAAAATGGAACATATTGGTTGAAGGCACAAAAAATTTTTTGACGCAGATGTCTGTTCTATCTCTTTAAACTGGATTAGTCGGTTAGGATACAACATCAAGTGTTTATCAGTTTACTTAGGATAAAAGAGTTACTACAGTCTATGATTAATGGAATATTAAAGTAAAGAGACAATGTTTCTCAGTCTTGAGCAATGTGTGGTTATCTACTAAAGCCAAAATTCCCTAAGGAGCTCTGATGTTAATGTTATCTTTATTTTGCTTCAACATGTGCACCACAAAACATGATTACAGTATTTATTTTCAGTTTCAGACAAGTATAATAACAAAATCAATTTATAAAAATTTTAAAAAGCAAGACCATAAAACCAGCAAAATTCAAATTGACAATATCAATGAAATGGTTAATTTATTTTGTGGAAACTGAGAAGTTATATTCTGCATGAACACTCTACTAAATGATCTGGCCCCAGTTCTTCTGAAATTTGTTGGTGTTTGATGACTCATTCTAACATTTTTCCTTTGAAACTACTGCAAAATCTTAGTGTACCAAGAAAAATGTTGGCCTCCTTTTGGTCCTAATGCATTATTTATTCGTCCTACTTCAATCTTGTTAATCTTCAACCACTTAAATATTCTTAAATGTTGTCAAAGTGAGAGTAACTGCACCTGTAACCACTATGGTATAAAATCTCATGACAGTACTTGACTATTAAGTGGTCAGTTTAGATGATCCACTAGTTGTCCCTCTTCTTCTTTTTTTTTTAAGCTTGTCAGCAAAAAGTAAATAAAGATTTTCCTGGAACCCATGAATACGTACATAATTTCCTATTTCAATACCCAACGTTTCAGTGAGTAAACAAAATATTTTTATATCTATTTTTTCTATCATCCAGTGTTTCTCCAACTCTGTTTTGCAGAAAAGATTTCATTAAAAACAAAATTATTTCTTGATTAAATGTATTCTGGAAACATCGGACTAAAAAAATTTTTAAGAGAAATGCAGCTCCCCAGCACCTTCTTGCCTCCACTGGTCTCTCTCTAATTTCCCCTGATGCTCTCATTTGCTATCGCTAGAGAGTGTAGGACTCCTGGAAAGAATATCTAAACCAGAAAAAGAGGAAGACAAAAAACCACAGCACTGGGCAACATGAGGCCTCAAAGGAATATGACATCAAAAGAAAGAATAATTCTCTAGAACCCAACCACATTATTTTGGAAGATCTTATTTTCAAATCAGAAACAAAGTTCAGAATTGCTGTAATAAAGAAGTTAAACAAATGTAAGAAAATCGAGAGAAAAACGAAGTCGCGAAAAATATAATTAATGGATAGAAATTGAAAATATAAAGAATAAGGGAATTGCAGCATACAAAAAAGTCAATAGAGGTGGTTGAAAAACAGCTTTCCATAGATAGCTATGGAAACAGACTAGAACAAATAGAGGGCCAAATTATTAATCTTGAAAATGATGGGCCGGGGCCCTCCCTGGTGGCACTGCGAGTTAGAGTGCTGTACTGTGAAGCTAAGCCAAGCCGTGGCCTCCTCAGTGCGAGTTTGATTCCTGCCACAGAGGTGACCCACATGGCACAGTGGACTTCTCCTGTCTTGCCCGCTGCGCCCCTCAGCAGTATACTTTGTTGATCTGCCTGTTCTGCTCCCCACTCTGTCCCTGGTGAATCCTCTTGCCGCCCCTGCACCTCTGGCCTGTACCCCAGTTCTGTATACACAAATAAATAACATTAAAAAAAAATAAAGCACCCAAAGGGGAAGGAGGGCAACTATTACATATGGGGAAACAGTAAGATAAATTAGGCTGATTTAACACTCTGCAAACATTAGATGCATGTTTGAAAAAAATATTATAATGTACAACAGACCCAGGTAGAGAAATATAAAGCAAAAAGTAAAAAATGAAGAACAGTTTGAGAGTTATCTAACTCCATTAGGAAAGACAACATAAGGATACAGTTACCCCAGAAAGCAAAGAGAAAAAGAAAGGTACAGAGAACTTAGAAGCTACTGAAGCTTGTAAGCACTTTGAAGCTACTGAAGTCACTGTAGCACACGTTCGATCCCTGGCTCCTGAGGTGACTCACATGGTGTGGCAGACCTCTCCTAATCTGCCCACAGCTCCCCTCAGCAGTGTATTTCAGTACATCTGCCTGTTCTACTCCCAACGTCCTCTCACCCTCCACACCTCTGGCCTATATTCCAATTCTATATGCATAAATTAATCTTTTTTAAAAGAAGAAATGAAATAATAGAGAAACATTTCTCAGACATGGTTATACCAAGACACATAGTCATGCAACTACCAAATGCTCACAATTAAGGAAGAATAATGAGGCCCTGTATGGTGGCCCAATGGGTTAGGACACAGCACTGCAAACTGGCCATAGCCACTACAGTGTGAGTTCAAGATCCCTGGCCCGGAGGTGACCTACATGGTATGGCAGACCTCTCCTGACCCACCTGCTGCTCCCCTCAGCAGTGTACTTCGATGATCTGCCTGTTCTCACTCACTCTGTGCTGAAGCCTCTCACTGGCCCTGCACCTCTGGCCTGTACTCCAATTCTGTATGCATGAATAAATAAATATTAAAAAAAAAGAAAGAATAATGAAAGTGACTAGGGAAGAAAGCTGGTATCCTGTAAAAGATATTCCATCAAATTAACTTCAGACTTTCTGAAGGAAATCCCATAAAAAAGGACAGAATAGAATATATTTTCAAAATGCCAATGATGAAAATTTCAATCCAATAATACACTACACTGCCCCAGACTCTCATTCAGATATGAGAGAGAAATAAGTTTTCTCAGACAAACAGGAGTTACAGGATTTTGTTTCTAAGAACCTACTTCCCGTACAAGTAATGTTGAAAGGGGCTTTCCTTTTTAAATCAAAGAGAAGAAAATTCTCAAAAAACTTAACAAGGAATTAGAAAGAACCAGATTAGTTAAAGGCAAATGGCAATAACAAATCACCACATATCAACAATTATCCTAGAAGTAAATACACAGTTGAATCCATCAATCAAAAGACACAGAGTGGTTGGCTGGATTAGAAAACGAAGTCCAATTTTCTGCTGTTTCCAAGAGACACATATAAACTTCAAAAATAACAGGATAAAAGTAAAGGGTTCAAAAACAACCCATCAAACAAACGGACCCCAAAAAAGCAGGGCTATCCATGTTTAATCAGGTAAAGTAGACTTCTAACTAAGCAAAATAACAAGATTGAGAGATAGACACTATAAAATGGTTAAGGGATTGATACATCAAGAAAATATAATGTTTAATAATGCACAAACATCAAAAGAAGGGGCATAAATATATATAAGGTAGATAGATATTATCAAATATAAATCCAGATATGAACAGCCATACAATAATAGTAGGAGGGCGCCCCCTGGTGGCACAGCAGGTTGGAGCACTGCACTGAGAAGCTAAGCCAAGCCATGGCTGCTGTAGTGCGAGTTCAATCCCCAGCCAAGAAGGTGACCCACGTGGTGCAGCAGACCTCTCCTGTCCTGCCTGCTGCTCCCCTTAGCAGTGTACTTTGTCAGTGTGCCTGTTCTGCTCCCCACTCTGTCTCTGGTAAATCTTCTTACCACCCCCGCACTCTGGCCTATACCCCATTTCTGTATGCATAAATAAATAAATCTTTAAAAAATAATAATAGTTCCCACTTTCACCAATGGGAAGATGAATTGGACAGAAAATCAGCAAAGAAACAATAACCTTACAATAGGAATTAGATCTTATGGGCCTAATAGCCATCTTTAGGACACTACACATCACCAAAAAAAAAGAAAAAAAAAAAAGAAAGGAAGGAAAGAAATTAAATTACTGGCAATTCTGATGAATACAGATGTAAATTCTGAAAAAGACACCTGAATACACATGTGGCATAACAATGTATATGTAAGAGAGCTATGATGACATTGGTAATACCCGTAAATCTTCAAAAATAACTTACAAAAATCAGATGAAGAAACAGGTCATAACATGGAGTTTCAAATATCTAAACCCTAACCTGTCAGGCAGAATCTCTGCTATAAATCCACCTTTTATTTACAAAACACAAACACCACTAAGCATAGAATTTCATATAGAGGTTTCCCACTCATACACTTAATAAGCAACAACGAACTAGCCACCCATTAACCAACAGAAAGTGAGACAAAAGTCTGCCACTCAAAACAGCAAGTCTACTGGCCTATAAATGACTAGTAGCACACCAGACAGAGAAAAACCTCAAAAATAAAAATGTAGTTCAAAGAGTGGTGGTTGCTGGGGCCTGGATTTCATGGCTTTAGCCAACTCCCAACCACAGCCCAAGGACATTAAGTCAAACAATTTAATTCTCTCATTCATCAAGAATGTGCCTAGCTCTAATTCTTCCTTTGCAATAAAGTGACATGACGTAAGAAAATGCTCCTTTTTGCTCACTGCCTGTGGCTCAGGGCAAGAAGAATCATTTTACCATAATATAGTATCTTACAAGTCATGAAAATGGTTTGTAGAATAAAAGCGCTTAAATGAACAGATCACTTTATAGTCTGCACAAGACTTCATATTCTTCCTCACAAAAGAGTTACTACCCTTTTATTACAGATAATCTTAGGGCCCAAAGATAGGGCTTTAGATTTCCATCACTGTAGATCACATCAGATTGAGGCAATCCAAAAAACTAGGCATCCTGATTCTATGTTCAAAGTTACTTCTATACCCCCAATGACGTGGTTGATCATTATTGAGTAGGACCTGTGGAAAACTGGTGGTTGAAAGGAGAGTGGATAAGTAAGTGACAGATGTTTTCGGTAAGTTGACTGGCATGTAGCCCAGATTCACTCCCATCTCAGTGCTTGGGAGCTATCCAGTATGAATATGACTACACACTGTTAGGTAACCAGAGTAGATGACAATCTCTTTGTGCAAGATGAGACAAACTGAAATATATTCCACTCTGACATCTGTTTTCAGCCAGACTAAGATGTGAAATGTTTTCTGGTTGGGAAGTTTGCCTCTGTCTACCACTGTTCTTAATTTAGAGCTTATTTAGATCTCTAATGACTGTACGGAGGCTTTCTAGTGGGTTCCCAGAGAATATTCTAAGATCCATTCATCCCATTAACCTTGCTAGCCAGTTGTTAGACATCAGATTCCCTAGTTGCCAGAAAAGCAAAAAAGAAAAAAAAAAAGCCCTGATATTTGGCAACTCTCCTGGAGTTTCCCAAACCTTTACAGCGAAGTCCTGGCTTATTGGCATGTACTTCCTGGGTGATTTCCTGGCTTAAAAAGCACTGTGAACTTTGGCTGCCCATGGAATTCTCTGGAACTATAAAACAGCTTGGCCGTTGTGACTATGGACTGAGGTCTAGGTCAGATTCGATGAGCATATTATCCTGTTTACTTCCTTGAACTCACTTCAAACTAAGGAAGGAAAGGGCTGGGAAATGAGAGTTTTAGAAAGCCAGAATTTTTCAAATCATCTAGAAGAAAGCACTGGCAAGCACTCTTGTTGGGGTATGGAGTACAGTACTTCTTCCCATTGCAGGTTTTTGGAAACTTCTTATCTTGTGATAGGGAGTCCATTATGGATATCTAGACAAACCTGTGTCCTAAGCATCGGGTGAAAAAAAAAAAGAGAGAGAGAGAAGATGGAATTTGGATTCAAAGGTGTGGGTTCAAATGCCTGCTCAACCTTTACGAGTCACTGAGACTCTGGAAAAATCACTACATTTCTGAGAGTACGCATTTTCTTGCTTGTAAAATGGAGATACTTCTTCTGTGAGATAGCGGCAGTATTAAAATGAATGTATACTTGTTTGAAAATTGATAAAGTATGCAGAACTAATAATAACTGTTAGATAGAACTACTACTATTGCTAATAGATTATTACTGACTATTTAAAGACTATATAGGCAATATTCCAATTTTGACCTTACCTAAGTAGATATATCTTGCTGTGTATCTTCACCTTTCCATTTCTAGGTCTTTGGTTTGTTTATTTCAACCTCTAGGATGTTTTCTTCTACACTGTTGTCAATTCACCCCAAATACCACCCCAAAGCTGTAAGCATCTTACGTTAACTAACCTAATGCCCCATGTGACCTGCTTTTACAGGTTCTCCTGTAAGTGTTCTGTTCTACACTGTCCAGCTCTCAGTCACTCTGTGAAAGAGGGAAACTCTGTAACCTTTCAAGGCCTCAAGTACTCAAGTGAGGCTGGTGATGGCCACAGTCTCTGCCTAGCACACGATTCCCATGAGAAGCGGATGGAGTTAATTTGAAGAATTTTGCAATGAACCAAAGGTAATGACATAAAATAAGACATTCCTGCTTTTAATTCCTGCTTTCAGACTTCTGTAAAGTCCAGTAGCTTCGGCCTATTCTTTTATATTCCAAGGAAGGTTGGTCCTACCTTGATCTGAGTAAAAGCTAAACAAGTCCCAAACCCCTTTCCCATACTTCAAAGAGTAAGAATGCACAGATACGTACCTTCTCTGAGATCTCGTCCTATTTTGGTTGATGATTTTTTCCCCATTGACAATCCATGAACTTCTGCTCCCTCTGTGCTCACTCCTGAAGGGACTCTGCCCATTAAAAAATTTGAAATTGCAATTTCCCATTGAATATAAATGTTCAACAGCAAAATTCCCTACTGAGGTAGTGTAAGGTTAAGACAAATAGTCACATCCTATTTTCTGTATACCAGTTCATGAGTCTTTGAGGAACAAATTAAAGTCACTGTGTTCGTGAAGTTCTCATCTATCTCCTCAACTAGTGTGCTCTATCTCACTTGTGAAATTTTCATGATAATGTTTATTTCAGTTAATTATATTCATAACTTAGAGGTTAGAGTTTGAATCTCAACAGAGCAGGAGAAAAATGATCCCACTCATCTTTATAATGCTCAGAGTGTCATATTAGGATTTGAACACAGAGAACATCACTGAACAGTGGTTGAATTGAAATAAATAGTTTCCTAGTAAGGTAACTCTTGACTCTAAGAAAGAAGCTACAAGTTTGTGTCAAAGTTTGAAAAATACAAATAACAATAATAGACTGACTTTTCAATATATGCACATTAAATAATCCAAATGTGCTTATATATTCTTGAGTCTCTTACAATGAGACTTATGTATGGAATACTTGAAACCAAGTATAAGACTGAAAGCCCATGAGATTTTTGAATATGTGTGTGTATGTGTATATTTATTTGTGTGCATGTATGGATATATTTGTGTGTATGAAAAATGACAGAGAAAGAGAGAAAGAAATGGATCTGTCAGTCCCTTATGGTGAGGCTCTTAAGCAGACTATATGCATTTTCAAGGTCACAGTTAACCTTTGAAAGTGAATATAATGTGATCTCAAATATGTAACTCCAATACCTTACTATTCTTAGAACTGCTCATAACATACAAATTGACCTCTAACTTCTATCATTTAAAAATGAGTTTTTTAATTTCTGATTGATTTGATGACACTGGATACTTTAACTTGCAGTAAAACTTTCTGAATCTCATGCTTTCAAATAAATGCAGTAAGGGAACTCAGTGTTAATATTTCAGTTTTATCCTACTAATAAGTCAAAACAGCACACAATTTTCTCTGACCTAGAGTCACATGCTTAGCCTTAAGGAATCACCTGATTCAGCCTCTAGACTAAAGAAAAAGCATGCAATCCACAGAGATAGATAAATTACTCAAGGTCACATAAGAGTGACAGGGGAGCTGGGACACCCAATTCCCCTCTACTTGGAAGTAATTTAGTTACATCATTGTCTATTGTCTCATTGTCTAGAAGTTCCCAATAGTATGATTCTAAGTATTTCTTTTCATTAAAAATACACAAGTTTTTTTTACTGAATAAAGAACTCACCGATTCTCATCCTGTCGTCCTCCATATCGGATCCAATAATTCTGTTTTACATTAAAAGAAAAAAATAAAAGCCTCAATAGTTTGGTACTAAGAAACCATCCACAGAAATAAAATATATACTTAGAACTCTCCAAAGACATAAATATTAGGAAATTTGCATATTTTCTAAACATACAGTATTCAAAAAGTATTAATAAAAAAGAAGGCTCAGGTAGCTATAATTTTGGAAAAAAAGACAAAATGATGCACAAATAGATAAAAATATAAAAACATGGAATTATCCTAGACATCCATTGTTTTGTTCAAGAAAGTAAGTTATTTATAATTTAGTGTGGAAAGACACTTGAAAAATACCATCAAGATCCTATCCCTTATACTTTCTGAATAAAATCAACAAAAAATCCAGCATGAGTAATTATCTGTACAGAATCATAAAATAAGTGAACTTTTCTGGAATTTCCTGAGATAATGTGATTTAAAAGAATAATTAGTGGGAATGACATAAACATTAATATGTTAGGTTGGGAAGAATACATTAAAATACACTGAGGATGTATACATCAAATACATTAATGTAAAATTTTTAAAAATACATTAAAACTGCTAATTTTTAAAATATGCCAATAAAAAGTACATGATTAAGATAAAATAAACCTTCTGATTCCAGAATTGAGGGTACAAAAGAGGGAAAGGAAAGGGTAATTTGGGAAAAGGGGCATAATGAACTCTGTTGGAGACTAGCGGTACCAAATACAGCAATAAACCCCTGAAGAGGGAGAGGCCCTGTGTCCCTAACTCACAGACAGTATTGTATATGAAGCAACTTCAATTAAAAAATAGTACAATACGATAGTGTTAAAAAGGATATACAACATAAAGTGCTTTAAAAGACATTAAAAAGACATTATATAAAGACCCATTATATAGTAACCATATAGATGAACAAAAAGCAGATCCAGGCTATTCAAATTAAAGGAAAATTAATAACACACAGAAAGTTTATTTTTGCTGGTCATCAAAGCAATATGTATTAAAACAATAATGTACCATTTTATGCATGCTATTTGAGCAATATGAATGCTTTTAAAATTTTATTTCTCATTGCTGAGATGTTTGTGGTAGGCTGGACACTAGGAGAGGTACATTACTGGATGCTGAAAACTCTCTTACAAAAGAAATATCAATATCAATAATTCTGCCTTTTAATAGCAGGATTATCCCATTCCTGGAAGTTTATTCAAAGGATATAGTTTAATAGAGAGAAAAAGGCTTATTGTATATAGAATGGTAGAAAAAAGTCAGAGGACATGGTAACATATTATTCAGCAGTAGAAATGGTCAATATTCAGCAGTAGAAATGGTAATATATTATTGCACATCATCTTTATGAATGTAATTGGCAATAATTTTAAGAGTGTAAGAATATACATATTGTGTGTTACATGTTAAATAGAAATTATAAGAAAAAAATCTATCAATCTATCTCTACCATAGTACTTGTGCTGAAAAAGGCATATGTTTTCATATGATTGTATGACAGCAGAACAATAGGAAAATCAGCATGATGGATAGTACAGTTGTGATTGATTTTGTTCTGTTTGAAGTCTTTTTATGTTTAAAATGTTTGAGGGGAAATAAAAATGTTGCATACAGAATTTAGGAAATGAAACAATCCTGAAGGAAATATATCATGTACAAAACACTTCATTCACATATATTTGCTTTGCGACTTTCAACGTCAGTGATAATGAAAAAATTATTGAGGTCTTCTAAAGTTCATCACACCCGATGAGTAAAGATACCACCTACCACAATTTTTGTTAATACAAAGTATGGAATTAGAATCTTCAACAATATGGCTAAGGAATAATATCAGGTTAAGGAATAATATCATGACGACTGAAACACTGTTTAGAAAAAAAATATTTTCTTCTTTCCTCTTACTGGTTCAGAGTATGAAAATCCCAGACCCTCTGCAGCTGATTTTATGAGTTCTGATTCCAGTTTGTGACGTTTTACGAACATAGCCATATCCTAGAGAAAATAATGAAAGGAAATTTGCACTTAAGTAACAGTTAAGAGGTATGCTAAATGCTCAAGTAGACATATTTTTCATATGAGACAAAGGAACTAAAAAACAATATCCAGCACACATGAGAAAAAAATATGCTTTTGGCATTAAGAATTATGTTTAACTAAAAATGGATCTACATATCATCAGGAATTCCACAGCTAAGAATCTACACAAAGAACACAAAAACAGTGATTTGAAAAGAAACCTGCACTTCTATGTTTATTGCAGCTAAGATATGGAAACAACCAGATGAGTGGATCAAGAAGATGTGGTACATATACTCAATGGAATCCTACATAGTGACCTAAAAAGATAAACTCATGACATTTGAGACTACATGGATGGAGCTGGGTGGGACTATGCTAAACCAAATAAGACGAAAGCAAAAGAGAAATATCGGATGGTTTCACTTACAGGTAGAATATAGAAAAACCAAACAAAGGGTCAGGAAAAAGACAAAACTTGCAAACTGACCATAGATCTGATGCATACAAGAGGGAAAGAGGAGGTAGAGAACAAATTAATTTGAAAAGAATTGATTTCTAGATTCTTTACTAAGTTGTTAAATCTCTTTAAGGGCAGTGGTCATATTTTTACCATCACCAACAGAATACCTAGCAAATCATTCTCTCAGAACACTGGTCTCACCTCTCTGGCTTCAATGGATGCTGGGTCAATACTGTCCTCCAACAGACTCTCATAGTAATCTACATTGTCTAGGACATCATCATCATCTGGATGGAGCAGAAGATAGGCTTTGGCACACTCCAAGGCTCTTACATATTCACCAACTGAAAGACCAAGGAGTTGGAGCATTTGAGTCAGCTTAGGTTTGCCTAAAAGGATTTCTAATAGTTACTTTAACATTTCTATAAGTGGTCACTGGTAAATGTCAATATGAACAGAGAAAGTTGCAGGTAAAAGGAAGGATGTAATTTTGGGTATTCAAAAGATTCTACTTTTGGTCAGGTTTAGTGCTAGATGTTTTGCATACATTTTCAAAAGTTTCCACCTGAAGGTATTTGTTGGCAAGTGAATTTTGATTTTTTGCACTATAATTGATACCATAGTATCTACAGCTAATCTCCGCAATCTAAATTTTATTAGTTGCTTTTAAACATAAGTAAGATGCTCACTCTTTCAGTAAGATAAATGGGTCATGAAGACATATTGAAATGATTGACTTTCTTCTAATGGAAAAAGTCTAAAAAGTTGATAATATATTTTCTTGAAGGACCATGAAAATTAGACTCCACATGGAAGAAATTTGGCCACATCTATAAAAAGTACAAATGAATAAATATTTTGTAGTGGTTACACTTACAAAAATTTATTATAGATATTTATGTGCAAATAAGAGATGCTACGTTTTTTATTAGACTTTTCATTAGACTATTGGTTGTGATAGCTAAAAGAAGCAATGCAAGTCCCATTGGCATGGAGACACATGAAATGAATTATACAATAATTTGCTTATATAAAGGAAAATTAATGAGGAAGATCTTTATATCTGACACAAAGAGGTTGAACCATATAAAACTGCCAAAAATGTGACCATTTTTGAATTAATTAAAAGGTAACTTCATAAGTCCAACTTACTAAAAAGTGGTATTCAGTGAAAAAAAAAAAAAAACATGATGAAGGTAAAGGACAATGTAAGATGAGATTTTCTGTTTCCAAGTGGAGAAAGTAAGTCAGAATGTGTGCTTGTGTGTGTGTGTGTGTGCACCTAACAAGACAAAAAGCTGTTTTGGGGCATGAAATTAGGTTGTTGCGTAAAAGAGGGCTTTTATGACATAGGAATTCACGAATACTTTGCCTTTCAAAATTAAACTGAGGGCCCTCCTTGGTTGTGCAAAGGGTTAAAGCAGCAATATGAAGCTATCAAAAACCTCTGCAGCACAAATTCAATCCCTGGCCAGGGAGCTGACCCACATTAGCACAGCAGACCTCTCCTGTCTCCCCTGCTGCTCCCTCAGCAGTGTATTTGAGTCAATCCAGCTGTTCTGCTCCCCACTTTGTCTCTGGTGAATCTTCTCATGCCCCTGTACCTCTGGCCTATACCCCTGTTCTTGTATAAATAAATAAGTTTTTAAAATAAGTAAAAAAATACATAAATAAAATAAAATTGAAATATATTAAATTAAAAATCATATAAAATGTCAGTGTAGTGTAACTTTCAGGCATTACATTCACCCACTTGTAGTTTCACCAACTGTTCTTCTTACACTGAGCAACAGTGATGTAAATGAAAGAGAAAATGCATATCACACACACACACACCCTCATTGATTTGATGGCAAACTAAAGAGTACAGAAAACTAATCATCAAAATTTGATGCATCCAATGATAGACAACTCCACATTCCTCAAAATTTCATGGATGATCCACGCTTTACCTCGATAGTAGGCAAACTGTAGGTAGTCATAATGCAGGGGGAGAAAATTCTCAATTGGTGAGAGGCGGCCAGGGCGGGTAGCAAGTTCCCTCACACATTCATGCTGACAAATCAGCACCTGGATGTAGTGATCTGAAAGACAAAAGTGGATCCTCCTTTTCTGCCTGCTGTCCAGACCCCACAGACACAGGGTGTTTCTCATCCCATGTTACTCTGCCAGCAAAACCATCATTCTCATTTCATGACCAGAAAACCTTTTCACAAAGAAAGCAAGAGCTTTGTCAGTGCCCCTTGACATGGAATGATAGCGGGGTCCAAGTCTTGGGGCACTTGGTGCTCCTTACCACGCTTCACTTCCTGTGAAAAGACTAAAACACCTTCTTACATTTTGTCTCTTTTTTGTTCAGTGAAAATGGAGTCACTTCAATCTTTTCTAGAAAGAGAATATTTCATTCATACTTTTTTGGAGCAAGTTCCCATGAGCATCATGATGGAACTATGTGACGGGATGACTGAACAGTTTAATTGACCACAGCAGCCTCCTTTCAAAGGTTCTCTGTAGGGCAGGCTTTGGCATGTTTCTCAATGACCTTGCAGAGGGACCCCAAAGCACAACTCATTTTTTTGGTACATAAGAAAATGTGCCAGTTTTCACACAACTGGGTCAACTCAATCTAATATATTAGAATCCCTACAGTGCAACGGTTTTTACCTTCAGTTGGGGGATGTAAGGAGAAGAATAAGTTTGTTTATGTGATGAGCATACTAGAAATAAATAGCTGGTTGTTTTATTTCTTAAGAAAACCACAACTAACAACCCTCAACTGTGTTCTGGTAGTTAACTGGCATTTGCATGCCTCCTGACTTCTAATTCCACATGACAAGTCAGAGCAAGAGGTGGAATCACACCTACTAAGAACACAAAAATGAAAACGTTTCTCAAAGTCAGATATAAATAGCAAAATGAGAGTTTGACAAAATGACATCGTTTACAGCTTCCCCACATAATCAATAGGAAACAACTTCGCTCAGAAGCCATTTGTAATTTTCTCTGATTTTTAATGTTCTCCTAAGACTAAAATTTCACTATTCTGGCTTTCCAAGTACATTCTGTATTTTAAAAGCTAGTTTTCCGGGCCCTCCCTGATGGCGCAGCGGGTTGAAGCGCTGCACTGGGAAGCTGAGGCCGCTTCTGCATGGGTTCGATTCCCGCCTGCCCCGGAGGTGGCCGCATGGCGTGGCAGACCTCTCCTGACCCGCCCGCTGCTCCCCTCAGCAGTGTACTTCGTCAATCTGCCTGTTCTGCTCCCCACTCTGTCTCTGGTGAAGCCTCTCGCCGCCCCTGCACCTCTGGCCTGTGCCCTGGTTCTGTATGCACAGATGGGTGAATCTTAAAAAAAAAAAGCTAGTTTTCCTCCTAATTTAGAACAGTTTTGAATCATTTAATAATTTGCATGGTAAGTTAAAATATCACTTATTAAATCGTAGTACCCCTTGCCTCATTTCAATAGTAAATGTACTGTGCAATTAGTATGTTTTTAAGACATTTGAAATCCAAAACATGGGGGTACTTTTAAAAAAAGTTCTTTCTCTTAATAAACTGGATTTATAAAATTATTGAGGAGACTTAATATGTTTTTGTACTATAAGGTATCTGTTTTGAACTTGAGTGACTGAGACTTTGAAATCAATTTTCTTCATTGAATGTGGAGATGATGGCTACGGTAGGTAGTATGTTGGGTACTGAAGGATCTAAGTGAGGAAAACGCTACTATTTTCCAGCAATTGACAGTCTATGGTATGGTAGCTCAAGGAAATCACTAAATGTCTTTCTGTGGGAAATTGTCAATTTTCCTAAACCATATATAGGATATTTGCCAACATTGTTTAATGGCCAGTGTTTGAGGTAAGTGTGGAGGTGAATTCAGGGCTGTAGGCAGGGCAGATGTCTTACAAGATCACAAGGTACTAAAGTACCCTCCCTGGTGGCACAGCGGGTAAGGATGCAGCACTGCAAGCTGGCCGCAGCCATCTCAGTGTGAGTTTAATCCCCAGGCCCCCGAGGTGATCCACATGGCCTGGCAGACCTCTTCTGACCTGCCCGCTGGTCTCCCCAGCAGTGTACTTCCATCAGTCTGCCTGTTCTGTTCCCTGCTCAGTCTCTGGTGAATCCTCTCACTGCCCATGTACTTCTGGCCTGTACCCAAGTACTGTATGCATAAATAAAAAGCTCTTAAAAAAAAATAGTCTACCCATACAACAATGCAGGCAAATAAGTCCACTAACAAGAAATGAGTTATTATTACTTATGATAATTATTATTCTGATTTATAGGCCCCATTTAAATATTAAAAATATCAACTACTTGTGACTTTTTGCATTTTCCACTTATTTTAAAGCTTGATGTAGTGCTTTCTTTTTTCTTTTTCTTTTCTTTTTTTTTAAAGATTTATTTATTTATTCATACAGAGCTGGGGTACAAGCCAGAGATGCGGAGGGTGAGAGGATTCACCAGGGACAGAGTGGGGAGCAGAGCAGGCAGATCTACGAAGTACACTGCTGAGGGGAGCAGTGGGCGGCTCAGGAGAGGTCTGCCACGCCATGTGGACATCCTCTGGGGCAGGTGGGGATCAAACTCATGCGGAAGTGGCTTAGGCTTCTTAGTGCAGTGCTTTAACCCGCTGCACCACCAGGGAGGGCCCAATGTAGTGCTTTCTTAATAATTTTAAATCTTATGAAGACTATCTCTTCATTTTCTTTATCTTTTGTCACTCTAAGAAGAGACTATTACATAAATATTTGTCAGTATATTTTTCTTACAGTTTTATTTTTTTACTCTTCTGATATTACTATATACAGATTTCTGTGTTTTCTTTTTCATATGGAACAGAGAACTCACCACTATAATGATTAACTACACAGTCTTACCAATTAATACATAATGTACTTGTCCCCATAAAATGGAACATAGGCAAACAATAAGGTAGATCTACATGTACTTACATGATAAGAAGTCCACAATACATTGTTAAGCATAAAATAAAATAAAAATATGCTGAAAATCAGGATTTATTGTATTGTTTAACTTTACAAAGAATGAAACAGTAATTATAAATAAATGCATACACACACACACACACACACACACACACACACATGTATCGGGAAAATTTGGGGGCAGAGATACCAAACTTTAAAATAGGTAAATTGATCTATGTCAGATAAGATGGGGTGGAGAGACACAAAGCCTTTACTTTTTACAATATGTAATTCTAAGTTTTGGGAATACTTCTACAGGTAAAATGAACTACAATAGGGAATTAAAGGGGCAATAAACTTACCTGCAATGGCTTCATAGAGACCACCTTTATACCTTAAATATTCATACTCTTCAAATCTCTGAGGCCCCTCACACAGGATTCGACATTCCATCTCTTCATTGAAATATTCTCTTAAAGCCTGTTCAAAGTACTTGATTGCTAGCTCAAAGTCATCAGCCTCATAATGTTTGACTCCTGCACTGTAACTCTCCTGCAAAGAAACAAGCTTTTTTATTTTCCCAAAAAGCAACCAAGTAGCACAGGCAGACTCAGGACTCTTCAGGTAGATGAGGTAAGGCATTCATATTAGGGGGATAAGGAAGGGGTGCTCTAGAAGATACAATGTAGCTGCTTTGGCCTCATTTAATTGTAAATAAGAAAGGATTTCCTGAGTAGGTCAACTGCTGTCGCATCAATTAGTTTCATTTCTTCCTGAGCACACTCCACAGTGTTTTCTAGCTCCATTCAATGTAGTAGGCCAAAAGACTGATGAGGGTGGAGGTGACATCTAAATCTACTCCTGGCCTACTTAAAAAAGTAGGACTTTCAACTAATACCTTCTCCCTGACCCCTTCTGCACTTTTGGAGACCACACATCAAGAAAAATGATGACTCCTATTGAAAAAGAAGTTCTTGTAACATTGTGATCTCAAGTAAGATTTAATTTAAACAAATAATTATGTGAGTTTTAAAAAACAAACAAAACAGAATTTGAAAAGCATAAACACAATGGAAAAAACACTGGACTGTAGGCAAGGAAATGAGGAACCAGAGTATGACCCTGGGCAATTCACACTGGCTTCAATTCCCGGATGTTCGAGTGAAGCGTTGGTAAGTGAACTGAGACTCAGAGAAGGTTACAGATATTTATAGTATGTTTCAGTTTTTACTGTGGAATACTGATATTCTAAATTAATTTGCACTTCTATTTGTTTTCAACCTTGATTATTTCTTCTATGAAATCTGTGAGTAGAACAATATTTCCACATTTGAATTCAGGAATAAATTTGAGGTGTCCATTCATAGGCTCAATCTTCTTTGAGTCAAATGAAACTTAGGAGCATTAGTTCCATGAGGGTCTGGCAGGGGTCCCAGAGCTCACCAGGTGTGGTTTGGCTTCTCGATCTACCAACTGGAATGCTTCAACGCCCGCCATTGTCCTGTAATTCTCGATGTCCTGCTGCATTTCCATGTGCTCAGGGTTGGCCATAAAAAATGTGTGGGCTGCTTCTACTGCCTTTTCCAGCTGGTTTAGCTGTGGGAGGGGGAGGGGGAAGAGAGAAAGGACCATATGAAGACAAACATTTCTAAACCACCCTTTATTCAAGATCTCACAGCTTGAAAATGGCAAGGCCAGGTTCCAGTGGACATTCACTGTACTCAACCTCCATATTAAAGTGCTGGAGGTTAAAGAAACAGTTATTAAAGTGATATGTTTAGTTCCAAGTTAAATTGCTTCTCTGTTTCTTCTAAGCAATCTGTATTTTCAGGGAAAATGAATCTATTTGCTACTGCTAATTTGATATTTAATCAAAATAAAATGCTGCTAATGCTCTACTACCTTTAATTCACACTTTTGCCATTTCTGTCATTTATTTTCCCCATCTTTTCTTTTTGTTCACTTTTTTTTTAATCATGACTGTATGGTTGCATACACAAAACTATGCTTTTCCAAAGGATGAAATTGGGTATATCTCTGACTCTGTTGAATTTTTTCTCAGGATTTAGGAAGTAAAGGATAAAATGTTGAAAGAAATAAATTACTACAGTGCAGAACATAAAAGACTCTATCACATTCCTATTTGAGTTCAAATTTAGAAATTTGATTCTAAATTTAAGAATTCGTAATAGCCACTATGCTAACATCATAAATCTTTTAAGCTGTTTAATACTGTTCTCCCTGTAACACACAATGATGCATTTTTTGGGGCAAACTGGAGTTGAATTTACCCAATTTAAGACATTTACTATATGCTTTACTCAGGGAGAATTCTTACAATCAGATTCATTTACTCCATATCAGAAAATTGATTAGTCACATTAGTGTTTTTTTTTTTTTTTCAGGATGATATTCAAGTATGTTTGATATATTTTGAAGTAGGAAAAAATGAACAAGTACATATAACATCACAAAGTGATATGTCAGTATATGGATTTGTCCACTGAAAAATTAGTATGAATTGGAAAGAAGTAGAAGTTTGCAGGTCCCCAATCACACTCATCTGTGAGAGATACAGAAACTTGACGCTCAAGACAGAACTGTCTTTTTTTTAGATCTAATATCTTTAACTTGTCTAGCAATGGGAAGATCTTATCTTTTACCTTTTTTGACATACAGTTAATGTATAATTACTGGCACTCCTTCTAATAAATCCTGCCTGAAATGAACTCTCCTTGTCACTTTTACTTTTGTTCCTGACTCTGTGCTCTGAGAATGATTTTTGATTTTCAAAAATCATTAATATTTTAGATACAGTATCTTTCTATATCTCAATGTTCTCTTTCTTACACACAAACACAGATGAATACAAATTGGACATCTTCATAGTGACAAATACATAGATATTTAAGGGAAAGATAGGTTTTAATTAGGGTGTGTGTCTATACATTTTACCTTAGGGAACTTGGAAAAATTCACTTAGACATTAAAAAATATATATGTTTATTTATTTACACATACAAGAACTGGGGTACAGACCAGAAGTTTGGAGGGTGAGAGGATTCACCAGAGACAGAGTGGGAAACAGAAGAGGCAGATTGACACAGTACACTGCTGAGGGGAGCAGTGGGTGGGGCATGTGTCACTTCCTTGGCCAGGGATTGAATTTGTGCTGCAGTAGCTGCAGATAGCTTCATGGTGCTGCACTCTAACCCCTTGCACAGCCAGGGAGACCCCCAACTCAGTTTTGTTTTTTTTTCCTCCCTAATGCTCATAAAAATCCCCTATCACAAAAAAATAAATAAATAAATAAACCAACCACACACACACCCCTTATTACCACCTATTATATTGGATTATGGAAAGATTTATTTACATAACATATATAAATGTGCTTCAAAAATAGACTAATTTTATAAATGATGAATCAATTTCAAGGACATAAAAATGTACTCTCATTAATGAAAGGTACAGTCTATAAATCTCATAAACAAATAACTTATGAGGCCATTGTAGGTACTTGTGGTTGGTGGAAATTCACTCCAGTTAAAGGCCAAATTTTAAGTTATAAGTAAAACAGTTTAGCACTGACATACTGGTTTTATAGGAGAGGACGTTAAAGTTGACAGAAGATAAATGTTGATGGTGGTCACTTTCCTACTTCAAATCCTTACTTAGGGAGCTCCACTGACCCAGAGAGCCTTTGTCCCTCAAATTTCTTATTGAAATCTAATGCATTGCACAAGACTAAGCTGAACTCCCACCTCCTCTAAAAGATGCTTTCTTACCTCTGTAACAATTGCTAAGCACTGCAATATCATCTTATCCCTATTTTTCTGCTAGCAATTATACCCTGTCTTACATGCATCTACCTGAACATATTTCTTCTCCTAACAGATCCCTCTGAAGATCGGTACCATTGGACTTAATTTTTGGTTTCCACCTATTTCTCACTAAATGGTGTCTATGATGTGTCATAAAAAAGAGAGCTAAAACTTTTAGTGAGTAAATCATTTACACACAAATCAAAAGGCTTACTTTGTAAGTGTATTCACAAGATATAAAATAGGAGGATGAAAGGATGATTCTGAAATCATCCTTCACACTGAGCTTCCCACACTGTTTATGATCAGTGAATGAGATTCAGGATACCCTGAAAACTGTCAGTCAAGGTTAACAACTAGTTATTCTCCTTTAATATGACCACAATGTTTTTTTATTGCTTAGTGCTTTTCCCATTTATAATCCAGTATAAAACAAAATGTCATCCTTCAAAATACAAATATAAAGAAGATTCCATGACTTAAGTTTAAGCTATAAACCTTATTCATGAATAGGTCATGGTTTTGAAATTGTTGTGAATCAGTTCAGGAAACTAGAATTGGTTGCTGGAGCCTATAAAGTAGACCATTATTTTAACTGGAAGTCTGTCTTTGTACTGAAAATTTAGAAATTAAATACACACATCTGAATTGGTAGGGAAAGGCAAAAAGTGAACACGAATACACTACATATGACGTCATAATATGGGAGATTATGACAAGATGTTGTAAGTACTATGTTCAGTTAAGAAAGGATTTACTCACTGCCCCACTGAAACAAACAGCCACAAAAGCAAACTACATTTAAGGGCTCCAAACTGCATTTGCTTTAAGAGCAAAATAAAATAAATCAGAGAGGTTGATAACTCTAAAGCAAGGGTAACTTAAACATCAGGAGAATCAATTGTAAAGAACATCTGAGAAAATGAGAATGACTTTGATAACAATATAATAACTAGCCATTAATGGAGGTCACTAGTCTACTGAAATGTAGGAATCCTAGAAAGAAAATGTCTTCAGAAAGTACTTGCTCATTTCAGCTCAGGCTGTGAAGAACTAAGGCAAACACTTTCATCTACTGGTCCAGAGCACAGTGGTAAATGGCATGCTGTGTGAAAATGCAAATGTGTGCTAACTATTGAACACTCTCCTAAGACTCGAAGTTACTCTGTCCTTGAATTGGCAAGTTGAATGAGACTGGCACACATGTTTTTTCCATAGCTAATAGTAAAGGAACATTTTGAGAGTATATACATACTACTAAAAAACATTAGCTCTGACCCATTTTTCTAACATAACTTCCTCCTCTCTGACATTATGCATACATCCCAGAAGAATTCTAGAATTGACATGCATTTTATAACTTACTACCCTCCGATTTCACAAATACATCCATGGACCCAGTACTCCAGTCATATCCAAATAGTTTATTGCATTCATTTACTTATGCAGCAAATATTTATTTTGCACTGAATCTATGTCAGGCACTGTGATAATCAATGAGAATACCCATGTGGCTAAAACAGTTTGCTAAGCATTTCCAGTCCCATCTAAGAAGACAAGTCTTAAGTAAATAAACCAATAATGAAAATAGTTTTAGATTATGCTAAATGCCATAAAAATGTATTAACACAAAAATACTGTGAGACCTGGCCAGGCTTGGACTGAAAGGAAGATTCCACTGGATAAATCAATATAGAAGACTGCTTTATAATGGTATTTTTGAGCTGAGACCAAAATACTGAGAAACCAGTCATGACAGAGAAGCGGGAAGAGCATTAGAGACAAAGGAATATCAAATGAAAAGGATAGAGGTAGAAAAATTCTTGGTGTGTTTTAAAAGCAGCGCAGACTGGGCCCCTCCCTGGTGGCGCAGCAGGTTAAAGCACAGCACTAAGAAGCTAAAGCCACTTTCACATGAGTTGGATCCCCACCTGCCCTGGAAGTGACCACATGGCGTGCCAGACCTCTCCTGGCCCTCCCGCTGCTCCCCTCAGCAGTGTACTTGGTCAGTCAGCCTGTTCTGCTCCTCACTCTATCCCTGGTGAATCCTTTCACCACCCCTGCACCTCTGGCCTATACCCCAGCTCTGAAACCAGAAATAAATAAATTAAAAAAAAAAAAAAAGCAGGGCAGAGACTAAAGAGAGATTTGAGAAGCTGAATGCAGATCACTTGTAGATTTGGTAAAGATGCTTAATGTTACTCTAAGTGAAAGAGAAAATCATAAAAAATGTTACCTGACATTTAATGTATATTTTACAAAGGTAATCCAGCCCACTTTGTGGAAAATAGATTTTTATAGCAAAGAGAGGAACACTACACATCATAGATAATATTTTTACTTTGCAAAATAAAATAGGACAGTTCTCCTACTTTTCCCTTCCTCCTTCCTCCATTCCTTTTGCCCTCTCCATTTTGCTTATTCTTACTATAGTGATGTTTCTCAGTCGAAATGGCAAAAATACAACGAACAGAAGGAAACAATTCTAAAACTTCCAAACACATTTTAAGGAAAAATATACTAGTCCCATTTCTTCTGAATTAGGAGAAATATGAAGCTCAAATATTTTGAATATGAAATTTAGAACAGCTTGTGAGGTATGTACAAAAAGAAAGGGGCTAATAATAGAACATGTTAAAATATATACCAAACACTATATACTTCTGAAATAGAAAATTAAGGATCCCTTCAATCTTCAGCATATACAATCAGCATAAAATATCAAGATGAAATAAGTATCTTCTACTAAAAAATATCACTTTCAAAAAAGAA